GGGTATAGTGCGCAACTCAAACCTGCCTCAACCAAACCTCACTCACTATCTACATCTTTGATTGCGTACAACATTTCCAATTATCGTTTATCCTTATACACACAATACAATGGCAAATTATTTAATTTATAGCCACAGTACAACCACAAAATGTCTTTTTCCGAGTCTCGTACAACACGTCCGGCCATTCGTTTCATGACAATGCGCCCTTCCATCCGACTCATTACCGCTCGTCCCATGAAATTCTTAAAATTGGATTTCTCAAATACGATACCTCAACTTTAAACTAAGTATTTTCTCACCTCAGCACCTGCTTCGTCTCAGTGAGGGGGGGGGGGCGGCCCGATTTTTGCTTCGTTTCCCGCATTCTCGTTCCCTACCTGTAAATAAATTGTTTTACCGATTCCACTCCATTTCAAGCACACTATCATCTCACCTCAGTAATTTTTTTTTCCTCCGTCCAAGATGAAGGGGGGGGGGGGGTAGCCCAGGCTCCAAAGTGAAGGGAGGGTGAGATTCATCTCAACCCTTCGCACCTATGTTTACAAGTAATCATTTGCACATTTTTAACTCATGTAAGTACCTTTCAAGAAGATTCGCGGCCTAGTCTCGGAGAATAGGAGGAGGGACGCCCCTTTGCTTCGGTTTGCCCTGGTGACGGGTAATATTTGGGCGAAGCATGCACGGTGAGCACCAGAGAAAGCTACAGTCGTAAAATTAAAATTGAAAATTTGTAAAAAAGCGTAAAACTTGACCCACTTCAGAGATTTTTATTATAGCTATAGAACTTGATTTCATCCACGAAAAAGCACTGCAACCTTCCAGATGGTCTTAATACATTTTAGGCCGTTTGCGCACTTGAATTTGCAGACGTGGGTGACTCCTCGTCTTTCGTGCACTCTCGCCGCTTCTTTCTTTGCGCTCTCTTAGGGTGCCTTCATACCGCGCCGGCAACCGCCGCTAGCCGTCTTTAGCCGCTTCTGCATACTGTCCTAGTATTCCGAGGCCTTTATAAAACGTCAGAAGATTAGCTGATTGTAATCAGAATGCCGAATAAAGCCACTGAACCAAATTTGAGCAAGATTCGTGGTTTCGAAATTGAGGGCCTGGATACTGAAAAAGTGCGCAGAGACAGCTAGCGGCGGCTGCCGGCGCGGTATGAAGGCACCCTTAGCCATGAACTGTTTTCGAGGGATGCAACAGAGCCGCTTTCGGCCCAAACCGGACGGGCTACAGCTATACAGAGTGCCCCAAGAAAGTGTGCACTCGCTCGTTTTCCCGCACTCCAAAATCTTTTGCAGATCTTCACATATCATCTAGAGCTTGATCGACACTTTATAGTTTAGAGCAAGTTACCGATCGCTTTTACTGTAGAATTACGGGGAAGCTTATAACGTACAATGCCATTGTGATATAGGTCGCTCAAGATTCCAAAAAAATGTTCTAGAAAACCGCGCATCAGGGCTTTCATGCTGGTTTCGTAACATAACTTTTACAAGTTTCCTGAGCTTTCTTAGCTGTGTGATCACATTTCTGGATGCATTGAAGAAGCAATTGCTCTAACTTATGGAAGAAACATGTCTGTAATCTGCAAGTTTCATAATTGAAAGGCGATTTCTCAGCCCAGCATAAGAGTTTTTGGTTTGTGTGATTTTCTTTCTGGGCAAATGCAACTTTCAATGCCTAAGGTAAGCAAGGGTAAGCAAAGGTAAGCAAAATTTTTCGGTAAGCAAACTTTGAAACATACCTACGACTCTTAATGCTAAACGGTTGAACGCTCCACGTAAGCATACGATTTTGTTCTTTTGTTCTCCTTAGGCCTCGGACAGAGTTCAGATTTGATTCGCGATTCAATCGCGACAAGACAACAGTTACGAGTTGTATGCCGATCAGCTTGCATTTCGGTTGTGATACTTTTCCAGCTCGAAATTTTTGAATGTAAAATGAAAATGAATGGAAATCGCGGCGATTGAATCGCGACGATCAAATCGCGTGAACTCTGTCCGAGGCCTTACGCTATCCAGATCACTGGAACAAGTTCAGTTCTCAGCATATATTCGATTACTTTAAGTTTAGCACCTCTTTGTCCTCACTCTGTTTTGTTTCTACAAGTATAAGCTCCTGCAAGACGAAGGCGGTTGGTTCGATGCGTGACGTGGTTGTACGCGGCTGTGACGCGGCTGTGACGCAGCTGTGTCGCAGCCGCGTTGCACATCGAACCGACCGCCTTCGTCTTGCAGGAGCTTATAACCTAAGTTTAAAACGGCCTTTATGCGGCGGGCTCCAAGATGATTTGAGGGAAACATAGAAGATGGACTAGTCTCCCTGTCACGAGGAACCAAAGTCTGACTTTCACTGTGTCAAAGAAGACAAGTTTTCCACTGCCAGATACTGCTTGAGGGAAACCTTCTACTCAATTTAGTGCATGCGTTAGACAGTTTCGATCATGCCACTAAAAGCGTTTCTAGCTGCGTTGCAGCAGAGCAGTTTAGATTACTCGATGAGAGTATAAGAGACGAGCAACAGGGTGATGTGCCCATTTTCCCACAGATGGGGTAAAGTTGAGTACCATCGGCTCCCCGATTGCTGCTAGGGCGGTCGCGATGATCAACCGATAATCAATTTATCAGCTATGTTTCAACACGGTGCAATCGCATCGCTGGTACGCTTTTTGGTGGGAACCAAGTGTTGTAGGCGATAGTGGTGTCGATGATAATTTATTCACAGACGAACCCCGGTGTTGAACCGGGGGGAGCAACCTATAATACAATCGGGGGCTCCTTATATAGGTAGTAAGGCGGAGCTGACCCGTGCACAATCAGAATGTCCAGGAAATATGTGCAAGAAAGAGGATGCCGCGGCTTGGCGCGGCCCCTGGAAGATAGGTGCCACTCATTGGTGAGTGATTCGGCACTTAAATGTAAGCGATTGGGGAATATAGCCTATGGGGAATACCCGTAAGCTATTAGGATTATAGAATTGTGAGGTTGATGATACATAAATCATCAACACGCTCGCTCGAGTCCGCCCTCGCGACAATCGGAGAGCCGATGGTAGATTTTTCGCTTAATATGGCGTGCTTGCACAGAAGCTGAAATGCGGTAAAATTTGCGCGTCAACAAATAGTTTCGACTGTGACGCTGGCCAACTGCGCGCGCCAAATGCCGGCAATATTAGCGTGGCTATTTATTCACGGGCAAATTTCACTGCATTTCACCTTCTGTGCGAACACACATATTAAGCGGAAAATCTACTCAACTGTAGCATTAGTTATGTTTTCACTTCCTCACTCGTCAGTACATGAAACGAAGATTAAACAACGCAAAATTGGTAGACCAGGGTAAGCTGATATGATGACGCTCTGCCTAGCTGAAAGTATTGTGTCAAAACTGACGTAATAATTGCCTCGAACGAGATGAAGTTATCGAAGTCAAAACAAACTTAACTACCTACCACAGTACTTGGTCTTCAAATAACCTGATCTACAGCCCGCTCTAAGTCAATTTTCAAAAAACACACTGTTGTAAGAGCCAACTTCCCTTTTACAACAGACTCACTTTTTTGTAAGCGAGCTAAGTTCGTGCGGAGCTTGGGGAACATTGATCTAATTGGAAAAATGTCATCAGACAGGCGATCATTCGCAGAACAAAAGCACATGTTTTCTTTGCGATTCGTCTACGAAAAAGCATGGTTTACCCTAGCGTCAATTGTTTTCCTATGAAAGTTATGGGGCGTGCGCAATCAATCGACAGGATTTCCGCGCGGAAGCACATTTGTGCCGGTCACGGGGCGCGCTCTTCGCAGCCATTCGTATAACTATAGGTATTACAAGCCATTTTATTCTTGTTCTTGTAACCCTCTCCAAACTTGGAACTTTCACAAACATAAGAGCAAGCAAGATACAAGAATGAGATAAAAACGAGCAAAAATCACTATGAAAATTGGGAAGAAGTCAAAAAATGTTATTCCGCGCCGAAACCGCATGCGGGCGGCTGCAGCGCATGCAGCACAGTCCTGGCACAGTTCCAGCACAGTGAACTGTGCTGAAACTGTCCGGAACTTCGGGATCAGTATGAACTCAGCCTAGAGACACTCCCGCGACGCACAAGCAACGCTCAGTTTACCGTTTTTGAAACTTCTAAGAAGTGGATGTTGCATCACCAAATTTTTGAAGTTTCGCAAGCGTATGAGTTTACTACCACTAAATTTCAATCGGGAGGGCCGCGAGGCGGCAAATTTGTGGCAAGCGTATTGCACACGTCCGCGACATCCACGGTTACTGTATTCATGGCTTCGGCCTACCTCGCTCGAAAGCACTCAAAGGCGCCCAAAAGCGCCCAAATTTCTCGAACGTCTCTTCACTTTCTCGTGTGAGGAGAGATAGAGAAAGTGAAGAGAGATCAGAGAAAATTGGGCGCTTTTCAGCGAAGTCTGGCACGGCCTGAGGAGCTTGTTGTTACTTTTTATGCATTTTGTTTCCTCCTCCTTTGAGCATAGATTATTAAGCGTACAGGTAGATTCATAAAAATATCTGGAGAGCGGTCTTATAAAGACTGATGACGGATTAACAACACAACGAATGCAGTCAATGTCAAACTCCTGACATAAGAATCGCATGCTAATGTTGGTCAGGTCTGTAAGCACACAATAAAAGAAGTTTTTATCTCCTTGGGACAGGTTCCCTAGATATTTGAGGGATCGCCACGAGGGTTTGCCCCGCGAGAGATTCGTCAGGCCCCTCCTTCGCACAGCAGGCGTGCAGTTGGCGTGCTCGCACTCTGGTTTTCGCACGCCGCCTCGAAGCTTCCCATTGTCAGCTGGCTGCGCTATCCGAACATCCGTTTTATCTTTTATGAATTTGGTATTCTCGTGAATACTTCCCATTATACCTTCTCTCGCGCCAAAAGCGTGAAATTTGAGTGGAGGAAAGGATTCTGTTTAGTTTAAAGATTCGAACCCCGTGTAATAGCCATTAAGTGTATCCGCGCTTTCGCGTTGTAATGTTCTCGATTGAACTCCCACGCGATGAGTCACTTCATTCACAGAATGTTTCGAAATTCGACTGGTACACGTTAACTACAGGTGAGAATAATCACGTGTGTAACATAACATCTATTGCAATCCGCCTACTCTTCCAAATGGAATGCAAGTTCTGAATGAGTTCGATTTGTCGAGTTTGTGGATTGTTCCTTTGATATCTCGTTCTTTTTTTGGATTGCTTTTCTTATTTGCTTTTGTTTCACGGTAGGTAAGGTTTTTGTTGGACTTTTATCTGTTCTTACACTCACCTGGTGTCAGCTTCACTAAATGAGTACATTTATATCACTTATCAGTGATTGATAAATACTGACATCTGCAGAAGAACTTGCTTTCGTGCTTTGATTTATCAGCAAGTTTTTCATTTCCTCTTTGATGCCTTATAACACTCAAAATGGAAGAGAATTGCTGTTTGCTGATAAGTTCTTGTCGTCAGCACAATGGGATACTGTACATAGATAATAGCTTCGCGCTTTTTCGCTTTGGTTCCGGAGTTGCGAGTGTAAATGATCGAACATTTGATCTGTTCTATGGTCACATCACAGAGATTTATGACTTCACTCCAAAAAACATGCGTTGCTCAGATGGTAAATAGCCTCCTGTTTATGTCTGGCTTACTAAAAACTCTATTATTGTTGACTCTTGAGCCGATTCGTGCTTCCTGGTGTTGGGATAGCAAGTGCTCGGCGAAGTTTCGTGGAACTCTCGTTCGCAAAAGCAGGTGGGGTCTATCGCGACAACAAGTTGCCGCTCTTCATTTTGCTATAGCTGTCCAATTACGAGTGTATGTCCAATTAAATGTGTCTTCATAGTACTATGTATTGCTGCTCGATTCCGGCATTGTTAGCAGGTTCTTTACCCTTTACTCATATAACATTTACCAAGTTTTTTGATTAGTATCATACGTTCGGCAGCTTGTCGCCAGTTATCTCTCTTCTTCGCAGTCTTATCTGCTTTTCTAAAAATGTCCTTTGAATGTTGCGTCTTCACTCTTCTTGCGTTGGAGTTAATACAATGCTTCAACATTCTTGATTTGTTCACTCGAGGTTGTGTTCTGTATTTCGAACTTGATTTTGAGAATGGTCTTCAAATAAGTATGCTCCGATTGTGATATCTTTGTTTTCACAAAATGTAAAAGGAGCTAATTATTTCATATTTTTATCTCTTTCGCAAACAGCCGATCCGAAACTTTTGTAATGCATCTTATCCCCACCGTGTCGCGATATTCTATTTGGTTGATTTGTGCTAAATATTGTAGGACTGAACATGAGCGCCAAGAAGTGTGCTCGTGAAGAGTGTGGGAAGACCGTTTATCCTTTAGAAGAGCTCAAGTGTTTAGATAAGGTTTCTAGTTGCGTCTTTTTTCTCATAACCTTACATCTGATATAACGTTCTCTCAGGTTTGGCACAAACAATGTTTCAAGTGCACTGTATGTGGAATGACCTTGAACATGAAGAACTATAAAGGTTATGATAAAATGCCGTACTGTGAACCGTGAGTTTCTTTTTGGTTCTTAAGTCGAAGTGGACGAAGTTATTCCAGACATTACCCAAAAACAGTCGCCTCCGTGGTCACAGATACCCCTGAAATGCGACGGGTTGCAGAAAATACGAAAAATCAAAGCCAGGTAAGTTTTTTTGTCATCAGACAAAACTTTCTCGCTTGCCTGTGAACAGTGAGCACTTACGGCCAAATAACAAGTTTTCTCGTCTGATTTCAAAAGGATTATTCCGCATTTTGCGTTTCCAACACTTTTTATCAACTCTATTGCACTATAGGTTCTGTTCTCATTGTACGCATAGTAAACCTTCAAGTGCTATAGCAAATTCTCGCAACGCGCTGTTTTCTGATCAGTTCGAAGAAATAGCGCACATCCCACGGCTTACAACACCCAGCTGTTACAGCGCGTTATCGCTTTGGGCAACTTTAGCCAGCCGCTGCGATGACAAAGGCCGCTGTGCAGCGAGATTGGCATAAAATTCTCGTACACAATGCATTGATGAAAGTGTGAAGCAGCTAAATGAAGTGTTTGTTAGGTGCAGTCTAGCCAGGTCTTAATGGATAGGGCAGGGGAGTAATCGGCAAATACTTGGTTATTATATCTCGAATTTGTATCTCAAAATTTCGCTCTTTTTTCTAGTCTTGTAGCTATCAGTACCTTCGCTGGATCTTGGTCCATCCTATTGGAAAGTTAGAAAAAGTAATGTATCCAAAGCCTTATTTTGCCGATTACTCCCCTGCCCTATCCATTAAGACCTGGCTAGACTGCACCTAACAAACACTTCATTTAGCTGCTTCACACTTTCATCAATGCATTGTGTACGAGAATTTTATGCCAATCTCGCTGCACAGCGGCCTTTGTCATCGCAGCGGCTGGCTAAAGTTGCCCAAAGCGATAACGCGCTGTAACAGCTGGGTGTTGTAAGCCGTGGGATGTGCGCTATTTCTTCGAACTGATCAGAAAACAGCGCGTTGCGAGAATTTGCTATAGCACTTGAAGGTTTACTATGCGTACAATGAGAACAGAACCTATAGTGCAATAGAGTTGATAAAAAGTGTTGGAAACGCAAAATGCGGAATAATCCTTTTGAAATCAGACGAGAAAACTTGTTATTTGGCCGTAAGTGCTCACTGTTCACAGGCAAGCGAGAAAGTTTTGTCTGATGACAAAAAAACTTACCTGGCTTTGATTTTTCGTATTTTCTGCAACCCGTCGCATTTCAGGGGTATCTGTGACCACGGAGGCGACTGTTTTTGGGTAATGTCTGGAATAACTTCGTCCACTTCGACTTAAGAACCAAAAAGAAACTCACGGTTCACAGTACGGCATTTTATCATAACCTTTATAGTTCTTCATGTTCAAGGTCATTCCACATACAGTGCACTTGAAACATTGTTTGTGCCAAACCTGAGAGAACGTTATATCAGATGTAAGGTTATGAGAAAAAAGACGCAACTAGAAACCTTATCTAAACACTTGAGCTCTTCTAAAGGATAAACGGTCTTCCCACACTCTTCACGAGCACACTTCTTGGCGCTCATGTTCAGTCCTACAATATTTAGCACAAATCAACCAAATAGAATATCGCGACACGGTGGGGATAAGATGCATTACAAAAGTTTCGGATCGGCTGTTTGCGAAAGAGATAAAAATATGAAATAATTAGCTCCTTTTACATTTTGTGAAAACAAAGATATCACAATCGGAGCATACTTATTTGAAGACCATTCTCAAAATCAAGTTCGAAATACAGAACACAACCTCGAGTGAACAAATCAAGAATGTTGAAGCATTGTATTAACTCCAACGCAAGAAGAGTGAAGACGCAACATTCAAAGGACATTTTTAGAAAAGCAGATAAGACTGCGAAGAAGAGAGATAACTGGCGACAAGCTGCCGAACGTATGATACTAATCAAAAAACTTGGTAAATGTTATATGAGTAAAGGGTAAAGAACCTGCTAACAATGCCGGAATCGAGCAGCAATACATAGTACTATGAAGACACATTTAATTGGACATACACTCGTAATTGGACAGCTATAGCAAAATGAAGAGCGGCAACTTGTTGTCGCGATAGACCCCACCTGCTTTTGCGAACGAGAGTTCCACGAAACTTCGCCGAGCACTTGCTATCCCAACACCAGGAAGCACGAATCGGCTCAAGAGTCAACAATAATAGAGTTTTTAGTAAGCCAGACATAAACAGGAGGCTATTTACCATCTGAGCAACGCATGTTTTTTGGAGTGAAGTCATAAATCTCTGTGATGTGACCATAGAACAGATCAAATGTTCGATCATTTACACTCGCAACTCCGGAACCAAAGCGAAAAAGCGCGAAGCTATTATCTATGTACAGTATCCCATTGTGCTGACGACAAGAACTTATCAGCAAACAGCAATTCTCTTCCATTTTGAGTGTTATAAGGCATCAAAGAGGAAATGAAAAACTTGCTGATAAATCAAAGCACGAAAGCAAGTTCTTCTGCAGATGTCAGTATTTATCAATCACTGATAAGTGATATAAATGTACTCATTTAGTGAAGCTGACACCAGGTGAGTGTAAGAACAGATAAAAGTCCAACAAAAACCTTACCTACCGTGAAACAAAAGCAAATAAGAAAAGCAATCCAAAAAAAGAACGAGATATCAAAGGAACAATCCACAAACTCGACAAATCGAACTCATTCAGAACTTGCATTCCATTTGGAAGAGTAGGCGGATTGCAATAGATGTTATGTTACACACGTGATTATTCTCACCTGTAGTTAACGTGTACCAGTCGAATTTCGAAACATTCTGTGAATGAAGTGACTCATCGCGTGGGAGTTCAATCGAGAACATTACAACGCGAAAGCGCGGATACACTTAATGGCTATTACACGGGGTTCGAATCTTTAAACTAAACAGAATCCTTTCCTCCACTCAAATTTCACGCTTTTGGCGCGAGAGAAGGTATAATGGGAAGTATTCACGAGAATACCAAATTCATAAAAGATAAAACGGATGTTCGGATAGCGCAGCCAGCTGACATG